AAATTTTGTTTATAATTTTTGCTAGTCAAAAATGGGAAAATAAATTTCAAATAATGTTTATCATTATGTAAGTTATTTTTTAAGGTAAGGAATTGTGAAATGCCCCATGTGGTCCAGGATGGGAGTACTCAGCACGTGCACTGGGCTGCCGCTATTGCTCAGCTGACATAACATCAGGTCACATGGCAAGAATTCACCGTTTCACACTTAGGGCTAGGCAACTTGCGCCAGTTAGTACTCACTATGGCAGTGGGCGTCTATCATGTTTCCAATCAATGAGTTCTATATCAAGCTGATGCGGGGTCGAGGGTCCCGTGCACAGGTGTGTTTTCATAACCTACTTCCACCATGAATGCAAAGGGTGCGTTTGTCAGGTCAATTCCACAACTGTGATTTAACATCGATATGCTTCCTAGTGATCCGCATCGACAGTCTGCAGTGGGATCGTTCTTTGCACAGCAAAGTCCCAAACCTCTGTGTCGAAGTAGGTCTTGGACGTATTCTTCGGAAGACGTGTACGATCAAGGATAAATCGCACATTTGGAACGAGACCTTGTCTTTGTACGTACACCATTCACTCTGATTCAATATCAGGAATTCATGCCAGCGAGGCAGCCCAACAGCAGATGGGTCCATTGTTGTTTCGGTCAAGGTGCTGCATAAATCGGCGATTCCATTTCGAGAGGATACTTGCATCGGTTCGATCGACATCGAACTCAGCGAGTTATCCAGAAGATGTGTCAATGGGCCGGGTGTGTGTTCATTTCCCCCTTTTCGTCTACAAATCACTCACTATATACTGATCACAGCTCATCTTCCCCTCAATGCACCCGCGGGAACGAATTATGGAAACCCAACTGTGGTCGTTCATCTGCTGGATGCGATTGTCACGTCTGTGGATCTCAGCCCTGATGTCAATACTGCAGTTGAGGTGGCACATGGACTGCACCACTCTACTGAGCCTCATGGTTTGGTGAACCAATGTCCGTCGACGCTTTTTGAAGGTAGGGATCTGGGGAAGTCACAATTGGCGCTAGTTGAAAAGACAGGAGTGCTTGTCAATGTCATCGATAAGTTATCCACGGTACGTCCCTGACGTGCTATGGATCGGCAGAGTTTACTCATCAACAATAGGTCCATCCGTATGTGAATGCAGCTTGGCAGCTGGTGTCGGCGCTGTACAAGGTGCCTTTGATCCCTGGTACGGGCTGAACACCTAGACTTATGTATTTCCAGGCCGCGTCCCACCAGATTGAGACTGATAACGGACTCGTCAATTTGGTCTATCTCATGGAGGATACTTACGATTTTGTCACCGATGTCAAATCACTTCCTAACAAAATCGAGAAAATGAAGCGGACAATCGAAAGTCTCTCGCAGCAGACAATCGAGTGCTGTAGATTTGTCCTGCACTATACTAATCGAAACTTCCCGCGTATGTTGACTTTATAATACAAAATTCGGCAAGCAACTAACTTTTGCATCAGAACGGATGCTCCAGATGAGCCGGCCAAAAATAGACGAGTTTATCGGGCGTTTCGGAGATCTTAAAAGATCGCTCGAACAGGGCATTGCTCTACAGACTGCACTTGTTTCCGCGCGAATCTCTGATAAAGTCAATGATATGCGTATGTGGAACAGTTTACTATTGAGTCCACAGACTAAGCAGGCTTCGATTAGATTTCAAGGATATGCTCTGCCCGAATGACATGAATGCATTCAAGCGTGGTCGATGCCTCGAAGATACGCGGATAGAGGTTCTGAACGAAATCATGGATTGGCTTTTATCAGACACGGAGCAAAACATCCTATGGTTGCGCGGCGTCGCGGGATCTGGGAAGAGCACGATTGCGACGACGATCGCCGAGTACTGTCGTGAGATGTCGTGCCTTGGTGCATTTCTATTTTTCAATCGAGTCGATGGTGCTGAGGACCAGCTCACCTCTATTTTCCGGACGATTGCATTCCAACTTGCCTTATTTGACTCGTCTATTGCGAAGCAAGTCGAGTCTGCTATTCAAAGAAGTGACCGTATCGTTGAGGCTGTCGCTGAGATGCAGTTCAAGAGGCTCATTTATGAACCACTCATGGCAGCAAGAGAGGATATGCAGGGACATACTATCATTGTCCTCGACGCATTGGATGAATGTGGTACTCCTGAATCACGGAGAACATTGATGTCACTCTTGAAACGAGAAATTGGGAGGTTACCCTCCTGTTTCCGATTCCTCATTACGAGCAGGCCTGAGGCTGACATCAATGCGGTATTGTCATCAAATGCAAATAAATTTGTGCACGAACTTGCCTTAGATTCGGGCTCGGATACCAGCCGACGAGATGTTCTGCAATACATCGATCACGAAATAAAAGTGATTTTCGAGGATTTAGGTCTCGAGATGCCGAATGAATGGGGCACGTATCGGAAACAGCTCCTCGACGCGTCTCAGGGACTCTTCATTTGGGCATCGACGGCAATCAAGCTAGTTAAGGACAACCCTAGCCCATTTGAAGAACTCGAGAGTATCGTTGGGAAATCTCATTTGCTTAGTGGCCTTGACCGATTGTATGAATCTGTGCTCAGGGCTTCTGGAGTTGTTTCAGAACGGTATCCTTCATCTCTCATACGCTTCTCTCAAATATTTGGTCTCATCCTGTTGAGCAATGCACCACTGTCAGACATTACGATTGACGCAATCCTAGGATTGTCGAGCCATAACTCATCACGTCTAATTCTTTCGAAACTGCAGAGTGTAGTCGCATTCACCCCGGGAAAGCCTGTGCATGTTTTCCATACATCGTTCGCAGACTATCTCACGTCAGATCCCTGCTCAAAGCCTTGCTCAACACACATAGACCCTGTTGACTGTCTATCCGGCCCATGGTTTATCGATACATCCTTGCAGCAGTTGGATATTACCAAGCGATGCTTTATTGTTATGAAGGACATGCTTCATTTCAATATGTGCAATCTCGAATCGTCTTTTGTATACAATGGCGAGGTTGTCGGGATTAACGATTGTATCAACGACACGATACCTTTTCAGCTGTGGTATGCGTGCATATACTGGGCATACCACCTCATTAACGCACCGCACTCACGCGAGCTGTTGGATGAGTTAATATCATTCGCACGCAAGCGGTTGCTGTATTGGTTTGAGGTGATTGGCCTACTGGGCCTGGTGCGTAGTGTCGCAAGCCGAGCGCTCATGGACGCTGCTGTGTGGTCCGAGGTGAGCAACGTCGAGTTCAGTTGTGTAAAGGCGCTGATTCTTGCCTAGGAGCATGATTCGGACGTTTTTTTATTCCTGAAGGACGCTAGTGGACTCGCCTCCGAATTCGCCATACCCATGACCGAAAGCACACCGCACATCTACGTCTCCATGCTCCCGCTCATGAAGGGTGAATCAGAAGTTGCTGCTCACTACTCGAAACAGATATCTCGGATGGTAGAAGTGGATCGAATAGGGACGAAACGGCCACCGCTGTGGTTGAAGGTCTTGGAGGGACATTCGGATATTGTTCAGTCTGTTGTGTTCTCGCCTGATGGGAAGTGCATCGCGTCGGCCTCTGATGACGGGATGGTCAGAATCTGGGACGTTGAAAGCGGTGAGGTGCTATGTGAACTTTCTGACGAGAACGGATTCGGTACCATTTCTGTCGCATTCTCATCAGACGGGCGTCGCATCGCCTCTGGATCATGGGACAAGACAGTCTCGATCTGGGACATTGAGTTGAGGAAAGTGGTGTCAGGACCATTTAAAGGGCATACCGAAGGTGTGTGGGCTGTTGCATTTTCACCAGAGGGAACGCACGTTGCTTCAGCCTCTGAGGACAAGACGATAAGATTGTGGGACGTCAAGGGTGCATCCACTGTTCATGTTCTCGAAGGACATACAGCTGCTGTACGTTCCGTCGTCTTCTCCTCTGACGGGAAGCGAATTGTTTCGGGCTCCAAGGACAAGACAATTCGAGTCTGGGACGCGATGACGGGACAGGCCATTAGCGAGCCTTTCGTAGGATACACGGGTGAAGTTAACTCTATAGCAATCTCGCCCGACGACAGGTACGTCGTCTCTGGCTCGGATGATTTCACAGTGAGAGTCTGGGACGTGGAGAGCGGCAAAGTTGTTGCAGGCCCATTTTTGCACTCAAATTTTGTTCATTCTGTCGTATTTTCGTCCGACGGAAGGCGTGTTTTGTCAGGATCCGGTGATCGTACAATTGTTGTCTGGGACATAGAGAGTGGTGACATAGTTTCTGGTCCTTTCACTGGCCATGGAGATACTGTTCGTTCTGTTGCCTTTTCGCCTGATGGGTCACACATCGTATCAGGATCCGATGACAGGACTGTCAGACTCTGGGGCGCGTCGATTGGCAAGATTGTGTCCGACACTTCTTCCAGGCACACAGAAGCAGTTAGGTCTGTTGCTTTCTCTCTGGATGGCAGTCAGATAGTATCAGGCTCTTGGGATAAATCAGTGAGGCTCTGGGACACCAGTACTGAGCAAGTAGCTTCCGTGCTGTTTGAGGGACATATGGACTTCGTTAATTTTGCTGCCTTTTCGCCTAATGGGGATCGAATCGTCTCCGGTTCCGAGGATAAAACTGTCGTTATCTGGGACGTAAACGGCCGTGAGATGACATTCGAGCCGCTCATAGGGCACTCCGACGCTGTCACTTCAATCGCCTTCTCTCCTGACGGCACACGTATCGTCTCTGGCTCTTTTGATAGAACCATCATCATCTGGAATGCTGAGAACGGAGGCATGATTGCTCAATCTGAACAACTGCACACGACTAAAGTCTGGACTGTCGCCTTCTCGCCGGATGGCACATTTATCGCATCGGCGTCTGTCGACAACGACGTCGTCATCTGGAATGCCGAAAGCGGGAAATGTGTTTCCGGACCTTTCAAGGCGCCCAAAGACAGCACTCAACAGTATTTTGCGCCATTTGCCTTCTCCCCTGATGGGAGCTTTATTGCCTCGCGCAGTTTGGACGATGATATCATTATTCGCGACGTGCAGAGTGGCCAGATCGTCTCTGGACCGCTGGAGAGGCACAGCAACACAGTCACGTCCGTTGCGTTTTCACATGACGGGGCGTACCTTGTTTCTGCGTCCTACGATCGGACGGTTATTGTTTGGGATGCAAGTAATGGAAGTACCGTTTCTGAGCCGTACAATGGACATTCTGGTGGTATTACTTGCGTCGCCTTTTCACCAGACAGTTCGCGTATCGTTTCCTGCTCTTTTGACGCGACAATACGTATTTGGGATGTACCAGGCAAAGAAGGCGATTCTTTAATGACCAGGAGTCTGCAAGGCAATGTGGTCGCTGCATGCTCCGACATACAAGGCGTCGACAATGGCCTTGCAAATTGGACCGTTACAGACAACGGATGGGTATTAGGACCACAAGGCGAGTTGCTCTTATGGCTTCCTCCCGACATTCGTCCGACTCTCTGGCGACCACAGAACACAGCCGTCTTCAGTTGCGAATTCTCCACAAAGTTGAATTTCAAGGACGTTGCACATGGCCAGTATTGGCAGGAATGTTTCAATCCGGATTTAGACTTTGACTAGTATTTCCATTCCTTTTATGTACCTCTAGTATTGTTAGCATTCTGTATTAAAATACTGTCTTTTCTTAGCTGAGGACGGTTTGCAAATCAATCTTGTCTATTTGTGTACTGTACTGGCATTACACTTATATCACACACTATTACTTTATTATATATGTAAGTCATCTGCTTGGTGACATAATAACAGAATTGGCTTTGTTTATTTAGGCAAGTCAGAAAAAAGCACGGTTGTAATCCCGCTTCAAGATACTGATCTGCCATTGTGTGCAGAAAGGGACACAGTTTGTAAAGCCAATGACTCTCGTATCGAGAGATAGATAAACAAGTGTTTAAGAGGATTTGAGAATACTTGTCCTGCCGGACTTTGCTTCAGCGAAGGAACACGAGGAGGATGGACATAGTTATGGTACTCCGATTTGATTGCAAGGCATTGTTAGTTTTTTTATTTCTGACTTGTGAAATTCAGAGGCAGAAAACTGCTTTGTCAAACATTGAAAGAAAACGTCCAAGAAGAAACCTGTATTGGTGTGCAAGCTTAAGCTCGATATTTTGGAATGCAACGTGTTATTTGTTTGTTCTCACCTGCAGTAAATTGTAGGGCTGAAGGTGGTGCCTCTATGCCTTGCAGTAGATACTGCTGTAACAAAGAATGTAAAAGCAAAGTCGACGCTGGTACGGAGCAAAAGCGCATCAATGAAGATAACACTCAGACTAGCAAGAGGCAACAATTTACTACAGTTTAGGGTCTGTCCGAAAGCAGATGAAGAGCTTGAGTGTTTGTCCAGCATTGAAGATGATGAAGTAGAGGACGACGGAGTGAAAGATGGCTGTGACCAGCGAGGACGAGGATAAGGACAAGAACACTAGAACTGTGGAGAGACCTGGTCCAGCAGACCTGCTCCGATCGGCGGTGCACAAGCAAGCGAATATCGTACAGCTACCCTTGATTTCAGAGCTGATTTCGTCAACGGACAGCATGACATTTCGAACCAGACAGTTACCTTCACCTCCAGTTTCACCTGCACAGTCATTAAACCCAACAACACGAAAGAACGCGTGAGCAGAAACAGGGTGTATCTGCACGCCATCATCGAGCCCTTCTCCATTACAGCCTCGTCAAACGTCGAGACGCTGCTCGGTCAACTCAGCACGGCAGACTAGGGCTGGTTGTGCTACAGATAGGACAAGACTACATTGACCCGTGAGCATGGCATACATCCTTACACCTCCTTCCACGGAGTTAAGCAGTCACCCTACATGTACCTCAGCTCCTACACTTCGTCTACCTCCTCGGCACTGTCCTCCGAAGCCGTCGCTCTGCACGAATCTTCTTCCATCGACAACAGAGCAGAAAAGCTGAGGAAGCCGGAGGTGCTTGCACAGCTACACTTGCACCATTGCAGATACTGAGAAGTACACTGACGGACCGTGATGTCAAGTATGTAAGGTACAGTAAGTAGCTGAGAACGATTCTGCTTCGAAGGCTCGTGCGACAGCAAGCCTTACATAAGGGTGCTTCATCGGGATTAAGACTGAAAATTGTACATGATAAGCTCTCTCTAAATTTACGTTGTAACGTAGGATACACAATGTTGTGTCAACTAAGTAAGAATGACTGCAGGTTCCTTCACCTCAGAGTCATCTCAGATTACAGTCAACAGTTGATCGATATCATTGAGAGGGCAATTGAGCACGTGCGATGCAACGCGTGACTCACTTTCTTTATCACAGCGCAAGCAAATTAGACACTATGGCAGTGGGCGTCTATCATGCTTCAAATCAATGGGACGTATACAGGCGGACGCTGGGTCAAGGGTCCTATTTACAGGCATGCTTCATAACCCACTTCCACCATGAATGCAACGCTCAACTTAAAGGGTGCGTTTGTCAACTCAATTCCACAACTGGGATTTAACATCGATATGCCTCCTAGTGATCCGCGTCGACGGTCTGCAGTGGGATCGTTCATTGCACAGCAAAATTCCGAATCTCTGTGTTGAAGTAGGTCTTGGCGGTTTTCTTCGGAAGACGCGCACGATCAAGGATAAATCGCATATTTGGAACGAGACTTTGTCGTTGTATGTGTATCATCCACACTGTATTGACGTCAGCAATTTTTCACGTCAGCAATAGCTCGACAGCAGATCCATCCGCGATCATTTCGGTCAAGGTCCTGCATAAATCAGCAATTCCATTTCGAGACGATACTTGCATTGGCTCAATCAACATTGAACTCAGCGAGTTATCCGGAAGATGTATCAACGGGCCGGGTGTGTTTTTACTCACCCTTTCATCCTGTAAGTTGCTCACCATACGCTGATCCCAGCTTATCTTCCCCTCGACTCACCCACAGGGAGGAATTATGGAAAGCCAGCCCTAGTCGTTCATCTACTGGATGCAACCATCACATCTGTGGATCTCAGCCCTGATGTCAATACTGCAGTTGAGGCAGCACATGGACTGGACCACTCTACTGAGCCTCATGGTTCGGTGAACCAATGTCCATCGATGGTTTTTGAAGGTAGGGATCTGGGGAAGTCTCTATTGGCGCTGGTTGAAAAGACAGGAGTGCTTGTCAATGTCATCGATAAGTTATCCACGGTACGTCCCTGACGTGCTATGGATCGGCAGAGTTTACTCATCAACAATAGGTCCATCCGTATGTGAATGCAGCTTGGCAGCTAGTGTCGGCGCTGTACAAGGTGCCTTTGATCCCTGGTACGGGCTGAACACCTAGACTTATGTATTTCCAGGCCGCGTCCCACCAGATTGAGACTGATAACGGACTCGTCAATTTGGTCTATCTCATGGAGGATACTTACGATTTTGTCACTGATGTCAAATCACTTCCTAATAAAATCGAGAGAATGAAGCGGACAATCGAAAGTCTCTCGCAGCAGACAATCGAGTGCTGCAGATTTGTCCTGCACTATACTAATCGAAACTTCCCGCGTATGTTGACTTTATAATGCAAAATTCGGCAAGCAACTAACTTTTGCATCAGAACGGATGCTCCAGATGAGCCGGCCAAAAATAGACGAGTTTATCGGGCGTTTCGGAGATCTTAAAAGATCGCTCGAACAGGGCATTGCTCTACAGACTGCACTTGTTTCCGCGCGAATCTCTGATAAAGTCAATGATATGCGTAGGTGGAACAGTTTACTATTGAGTCCACAGACTAAGCAGGCTTCGATTAGATTTCAAGGATATGCTCTGTCCAAATGACATGAATGCATTTAAGCGTGGTCGATGCCTCAAAGATACACGGATAGAGGTTCTAAACGAAATCATGAATTGGCTTTTATCAGACACGGAGCAAAACGTCCTATGGTTGCGCGGCGTCGCGGGATCTGGAAAAAGCACGATTGCGACGACCATTGCGGAGTACTGTCGTGAGATGTCGTGCCTTGGTGCATTCCTGTTTTTCAACCGGGTGGATGGTGCTGAGGATCAGCTCACCTCTATTTTCCGGACGATTGCATTCCAACTTGCCTTATTTGACTCGTCTATTGCGAGGCACATCGAAACTGCTATTCAGAAGGCCAACCAAATCAGCGAGGCTGTTGCGGAAGTGCAGTTCAATAGGCTTCTGTTAGAACCACTCAAAGCAACAAGAGATGAGATGCAGGGTCCGGTCGTCATCATCCTCGACGCGTTGGATGAATGTGGCACGCCAATCGCTCGACGAAAATTGATGTCGCTCCTGCAAAAGGAGTTCGGAAAGCTACCTTCCAATTTCCGATTCCTCATTACGAGCCGGCCAGAGGATGATATCAACAAAGCATTGTCGAATCGCCCAAACTTAGTTTATGAGGTCGCGCTGGATTCAGGATCGGCAGAGAGCAGGCGCGATGTTCTACACTATGTTGACCAGGAGATGCGAAATGTCATAGCAGATGCAGATATATCCATCCCGGAGAGCTGGCAATGGGATACAAAGATAAGAAATCTAGCCGATGCCTCGGAAGGATTATTTATATGGGCGTCGACTGCCATCAAGCTTGTCTTAGAGAGTCCCCGCAGGTTTCGAAAGCTTGAAGAGCTCGTCAATGCATCTCATCGACTAAAGGGTCTTGACCAATTATATGATTCGGTCCTGAGGAACTCTGGAGTTATTGGAGTGGATGATTTGTCTTCTATAGCTCACTTTGTGCAAGTCTTAGGCCTTGTCCTACTCAGTCGCGTTCCGCTTTCAGATACGATGATCGATGCAATCCTCGGTTTGTCGTCCACCGAACCATCGCGTGAAATTCTGTCGAAGCTCGGCAGTGTACTTGTATTCAGACGAGGCGAACCCGTTCATGTACTCCACACGTCATTCGCCGACTACCTGTTATCCACGCCCTGTTCCCAACCGTGCCGCGAGCATGAGAACTCTTCCGAATGTCCATCCGATCCATGGTTCATTAACAAAACCTCTCAGCAATCAGCTATTGCGACGCGATGCTTTGTCGTCATGAAGGATATGCTTCATTTTGACATGTGTGGTCTCGAATCGTCTTTCATACGCAACAAAAATGTCACTAGGATTGAGGACCGAATCAACGAAACGTTACCACTGCATCTGCAATATGTGTGCGTGTACTGGGCACAGCACCTCATCGATGCGCCGTATTCACCCGAGCTGTTAGACGAGCTAACATCGTTCACACGTAGGCGGCTGCTATATTGGTTTGAGGTGATTAGCCTAAAAGGCCTGGTGCATAGTGTCGCGGGCCGGGCGCTCATGGATGCTGCTGCGTGGTCCGAGGTGAGCAACATCGAGTTCAGTTGTGTACTGGCGATAATTCTTGTCTAGCAGCATGATTCAGACATTTCGTCGTTCCTAAAGGATGCCAGCACACTTGCCTCCGAATTTGCCATCCCTATAGCCGAAAGCACACCACACATCTACGTCTCCATGCTCCCGCTCATGAAGGACGATTCGAAGGTAGCAGCCCACTACTCGAAACAGACATCTCGGATGGTAGTAGTCGATCGGATAGGGACGAAACGGCCGCCGCTGTGGTTGAAAGTGCTAGAGGGACATTCGCGCGGTGTTCAGTCCGTCGCATTCTCACCTGATGGGAAGTGTGTCGCGTCGGGCTCCTGGGACGGAACAGCCAGAATCTGGGACATTGAGAGTGGCGAGGTGCTATGCGAATTCTTTGAAGAGACTCGAGCCGCCGTCATGTCTGTCGCATTCTCGCGAGACGGGCGTCGCATCGCCTCTGGGTCGTGGGGCAGGACAGTCACGATCTGGGACATTGAGTCATGGGAGGTGGTCTCAGGACCATTTACAGGGCATACTAAGGGTGTACATACTGTTGCTTTCTCGCCAGAAGGAACGCACATTGCTTCAGGCTCTGAGGATACAACAATAAGAGTGTGGGACGTCAAGAGCGAGTCCGCTGTTCATGTTCTCGAAGGGCATACGGCTGCTGTACGTTCTGTCGCATTCTCCTCTGATGGGAAGCGAATCATTTCGGGCTCACACGATAAGACGCTTCGAGTCTGGGACGTAGAGGCTGGACAGGCCATTGGTGGGCCCTTCGTAGGACACACCGACGAAGTCTACTCTGTGGCAATCTCGCCCGACGACAAGTACGTCGTCTCTGGCTCGGATGATTACACAGTGAGAATCTGGGACGTGGAGAGCGGGAAAGTCGTTGCGGGCCCGTTTCAGCATTCAGACACTGTTACTTCTGTTGCATTTTCGTCTGACAGTAAGCGTGTCGTGTCAGGATCCGGCGACCGCACAACTGTCGTCTGGGACGTGGAGAGCGGTGACATTGTTTCTGGTCCATTCACTGGTCACACAGACATTGTTCGTTCCGTTTCCTTCTCCCCTAATGGGTCACAAGTCGTTTCGGGATCCGATGACAAGACTGTCAGGCTCTGGGAGACACGCATGGGCAAAATTGTATCCTCGTCTTCTACCTGGCACACAGCAGCAGTCATGGCCGTTGCGTTTTCTCCAGATGGCAGATGGATAGCGTCAGGTGCTAATGATAAAACAGTGAGAATTTGGGATGCTAATACTGCAGAAGCTGTTTCCGTTCCATTTGAGGGACATACTCATGATGTCAACTCCGTGGCTTTTCGGCGTGATGGTAGACAGATTGTCTCTGGCTCTGAAGATAATACTGTTATTGTCTGGGACATAAACAGCCGTGAGATGACATTTAAGCCGCTCAAAGGGCATACAAGTGCTGTCAATTCCGTCGCCTTCTCTCCTGATGGTACACGTATTGTCTCCGGCTCTAGTGACAGAACCATCATTATCTGGAACGGTGAGAACGGAGACACGATTGCCCAATCTGAACAACTGCACACGACTGCGATCTTTACTGTTGCCTTCTCACCGGATGGCTCATTTATTGCATCGGCGTCTGTCGACAACGATGTCATCATCTGGAATGCCGAAAGCGGGAAATGTGTTTCCGGACCCTTCAAAGCGCCTCAAGATAGCACCTTACGGATCTTTGTACCACTTGCCCTCTCTCCTGACGGGAGATGTATTGTGTCGCGTAGATCACACAATGATATCATTATTCGTGACGTGCAGAGTGGCCAGATCAAGTCGGGACCACTGAAGGGACATAAAGGCATAGTCACGTCTGTTGTGTATTCGCCTGACGGGAAATACGTCGTTTCCGGGTCATACGACCGGACGGTTATTTTACGGGATGCGAGTGATGGGAATAACATTTCCGAGTTGTACAATGGACATTCTGGTGGTATTACTTGCGTCACCTTTTCACCAGATGGTTTGCGTATTGTCTCCTGCTCTTTTGACGCAACAATACGTATCTGGACTGTACCATGCAAAGAAGGCTATTCTTTAACGACCAGAAGTTTGCATGGCAAGGCGGTTGCCTCATGCCCCAACATACAAGACGTTGACGATGGCTTTGCAAGTTGGACACTTACAGACAATGGATGGGTATTAGGTTTTCAAGGCGAGTTGCTGTTATGGCTTCCTCCCGACATTCGTCCAACTCTCTGGCGGCCACAAAACACGGCCGTTTTCAGTTGTGAATTTTCCACGAAGCTGAAATTCAAGGGCGTTGCACATGGAAAGCGTTGGCAGGAATGTTTCAATCCGGATGTATTGCTTTGACTGGTGTTTCCATTCTTTCTATGTATCTCTGGTATTGCCAGCATTCTATATTTAAACACTTTTGTCTCTCCTTAGCTGAAGACTTCTTTGTGTGGTTTGCAAATCGATCTCGTCTATTTGTATACTGTACTGGCATTGCACTTATATCATATTCTATTATTGTGTTACTTAATAAGTCATCCGCTTGGTAGCATAAAAAAGAATTGGCTTTTGTTCAGGCAAGTCAGAAAAAGCACAGTTGTAATCTGTGTCATGTACTGGTCCGTCAATGCACAAAGCAAAGGAAGAGGCTGGTAAAGCCAATAACTCTCGTAAATATCGAGAACGCACAGTATGGCAAGATAAATAATCAAATGCTTTAAGGGATTTGAAGATACTTGTCCTACCTGACTTTGCTTCCGCAAAGGAACACAAGGAGGAGGATAGACATAGTCATGGTATTCCGATCTGATCGCATGGCTACGTCGCGATCGACTGGAGTCGAGACGAGTCACGAGACAGACACTTAGCTGAGGCAATTACACACGTGACGAACAATTCACTATTTAATTCGAGACAGTACACTGTACAGGTCGAGGTGACTTTTAGACGGACCGGATACTTGACATTGAGCGTCTATCATGCTTCCAATCCACATGACCTAGATCGAAGCAATGCTGGGTAGAGGGCACAGTGTGTATGTGTATCTTCTATCTCTCCTTGCGCACTTCCACCATGAGTGCAATGCTCAACTTCAAGGGTGCGTTTATTCACACGACTCGAGTGCACCAGGCGAGAGCATTGATATACTCCTAAATCCAAGTGATCCGTGTCGACGATCTTCAGTGGGACGTGCCATTTCATAGGAAACCAAATCTCTATATCGAAATACGTCTCGGCGGTATAATTGAGAAGACACACACGATCAAGGATAAATATCACGCTTGGGACGAGACCTTGTCGTTGTACGCTCACCATATACTCTGATTCGAAAGTGAGAGCTCACCTCAACAACATAGTCCACCAGTTGATGCCTCTGAGACCGTTTCGATCAAGGTCCTACATAAATCATCTATCCTAGTTCGAGGTGACGTTTGCATCGGTTCGATCGACATTGAACTCAACGAGTTGTCTGGAAGATGTATCAATGGGCCGGGTGTGTTTTTACTTTCCCTTTTTGTCTACAAATTGCTTACCGTACGCCAATCCCAGCTCATCTTCCTCTCGACTCACCCGCGGGGAGGAATTATGGAAAGCCCACTGTGGTCATTCATCTGCTGAATGCGACCAGCACATCTGTGGATCTCAGCTCTGATGTCAATACTGCAATTGAGGCAGTACATAGAGTGGACCACTCTACCGGGCCCAATGATTCGGTGACACAATGCCTGTCAACGCTAAATAAAGGAAGGGATCTGGGGAAGTCTCTATTGGCACTCGTTGAAAAGACAGGAGTACTTGTTAACGTAATTGATAAGTTATCCACTGTGCGTCTTTGAGGTGTTATGGCTTCGGCAGAGTTTGCTCATAAACGATAGGTTCATCCGTATGTGAATGCAGCTTGGCAGTTGGCGTCAGCCTTGTACAAGGTGCCTTTGCTCCAATCTGATACCGTCTGAACATCTAGACTCATGTATTTCTAGGCTGTATCTCACCAGATTGAGACAGATAGAAAACTCGTCGATTTGGTCTATCTCATGGAGGACACTTACGATTTTGTCACTGATGTCAAATCACTTCCTAACAAAATTGAGAGGATGAAGCGGACAATCAAAAGTCTCTCGCAGCAGACAATCGAGTGCTGTAGATTTGTCCTCCACTATACCAATCAGAACTTTCCGCGTATGTTAACCTTTTAATACGGAATTCAACGAGTAACCAATTTCTACGCCAGAACGGATGCTCAAAACGAGTCGGCCAAAAGTTGACGAGTTTATCGGGCATTTCGGTGATCTTAAGAGGTCGCTCGAACAAGGCATCGTTCTACAGACCGCATTTGTTTCCGCACGAATCTCGGATAAAGTTGATGATATGCGTAAGTGGAAGAGTATACTATTGAGTCCACGGACTGAGCAGGCTTCGGTTAGATTTTAAGGATATGCTCTGCCCGAATGACATGAATGCATTCAAGCGTGGTCGATGCCTCGAAGATACGCGGATAGAAGTCCTGAACGAAATCATGGATTGGCTTTTATCGGGCACAGAACAAAACATCCTGTGGTTACGCGGCGTGGCAGGGTCCGGAAAGAGTACAGTTGCGACGACGATTGCGGAGTACTGTCGTGAAATGTCGTGTCTTGGTGCATTCCTGTTTTTCAACCGAGTGGATGGTGCTGAGGATCAGCTCATGTCTACCTTCCGGACGATTGCATTCCAGCTCGCCTTGTTCGATTCTTCTATTGCGAAGCAAGTCGAGTCTGCTATTCAAAGAAGTGAACGTATCGTTGAGGCTGTCGCTGAGATGCAGTTCAAGAGGCTCATTTATGAACCACTCATGGCAGCAAGAGAGGATATGCAGGGTCCTACTATCATTGTCCTCGATGCATTGGATGAATGTGGTACTCCTGAATCACGGAGAACATTGATGTCGCTCTTGAAACGAGAAATTGGGAGGTTACCTTCCTGTTTCCGATTCCTCATTACGAGCAGGCCTGAGGCTGACATCAATGCGGTATTGTCATCAAATGCAAATAAATCTGTGCACGAACTTGCCTTAGATTCGGGCTCGGATACTAGCCGACGAGATGTTCTGCAATACATTGATCACGAAATAAAAGTGATTTTCGAGGATTTGGGACTCGAGATACCGAATGAATGGGATACGTATCGGAAACGCCTTGTGGACGCATCCCAGGGCCTCTTCATTTGGGCATCGACGGCAATCAAGCTAGTCAAGGACAACCCTAGCCCACTGGAAGAACTCGAGAGTATTGTTGGGGCGTCGCATTTGCTAAGTGGCCTTGAACGGTTGTACGAATCTGTGCTTAGGAATTCTGGAGTTGTTTCAGAACGATACCCTTCGTCTCTCACACGCTTCTCTCAGATATTTGGTCTCATTCTTTTGAGCAATACACCACTATCAGACACCACGATTGACGCAATCCTAGGGTTATCGAGCCAAAACTCATCACGCCTAATTCTTTCGAAACTGCAGAGCGTAGTTGCGTATGCCCCTGGTCGACCTGTACATCTTTTCCATACATCATTCGCAGACTATCTCCTGTCAGCGCCCTGCTCCATACCGTGCCGAACCCATTACGTACCGTCTTATGGTCAAAGGCCTGTTGACTGTTTATCCGGACCGTGGTTCATCGACAAATCCTCCCAGCAGTCCGCCATTGCTATGCGTTGCTTTATCGTCATGAAGGATATGCTTCATTTTAATATGTGCGGTCTCGACTCGTCTTTCATGTACAACAAGGAGGTCGACGGGATCGATGAGCGCATCAGCGAGAAGGTACCGCTGCATCTGCAATATGCATGTAAATACTGGGCACATCACCTTTCTGAGGCTCCGTTCTCGCACGAATTGTTGGGCGAACTGAGGACCTTCGCGTATGAACGCCTGCTATACTGGTCCGAGATCCTCAGTCTGCTAGGTCAGGTCAGTCGAACTGCGAGCCGAGCGCTTCTGGACGCCGCTGCATGGTCTGGGGTGAGTACAGCCGGCTTATATACTGTACAAGCGCTGATCCTTGTCTAGAAGCATGATTCGGACATTTCATCGTTCCTGAAGGATGCTAGCAGACTCACCTCTACATTCGCCGTGCCCATGACTGAAAGCACGCCACACATCTACGTCTCCATGCTCCCACTCATGAAGGACGATTCGAAAGTGGCAGCCCATTACTCGAGGCAGACATCGCGGGTGTTAGTAGTCGATCGAATAGGGACGAAACGTCAGCCGCTGTGGTTGAAAGTGCTAGAGGGACATTCGGACATTGTTTGGTCCGTCGCATTCTCACCTGATGGGAAGTGCGTCGCGTCGGGCTCCTGGGACGGAACAGCTAAAGTCTGGGACGTTGAGAGCGGTGAGGTGTTATGCGAGTTTTTGGAAGAGAACGGATCCGGGGTCATGTCTGTCGCATTCTCATCAAACAGGCATCGCATCGTCTCTGGGTCATGGGACGGGACAGTCGCGATCTGGGACGTTGAGTCGGGGGAGGTGGTCTCAGGACCATTTACAGGGCGTACTAAGGGTGTAAATACTGTTGCTTTCTCGCCAGAAGGAACGCACATTGTTTCAGGCTCTGAGGATACAATAATAAGAGTGTGGGACGTCAAGAGCGGGTCCACTATTCATGTTCTCGAGGGACATACGGCTGCTGTATGTTCTGTCGTCTTCTCCTCTGATGGGAAGCGAATCATTTCGGGCTCACATGACAAGACAATTCGAGTCTGGGACGCGATGACAGGGCAGGCCATTGGCAATCCTTTCGTCGGGCACACAGATGAAGTCAACTCTGTGGCAATCTCGCGCGATGATAGGCGCATCGTCTCTGGCTCGTATGATTACACAGTGAGAGTCTGGGACGTGGAGAGTGGGAAAGTCGTCGCGGGCCCATTTCTGCATTCGAACCTTGTTAACTCTGTCGCATTTTCGTCTGACGGAAGGCGTGTTTTGTCAGGATGTGCAGATAGCACAATCGTAGTACGGGACGTGAAGAGTGGTGACATTGTTTCTGGTCCATATACTGGTCATGCACATGTAGTGCGTTCCGTTGCCTTCTCGCCTGATGGATCACGCATTGTCTCAGGATCCAATGACAAGACTGTCAGACTCTGGGACGCATCGATTGGCAAAATTGCTCCAGACTCTTCTGCAAGGCACACAGAAGCAGTCATGTGCGTTGCTTTCTCTCCAGATGGCAGTTGGGTAGCATCGGGCTCTAATGATAAAGCAGTGAGACTCTGGTCCGCTAGCACCGGGCAAATAGCTTCCGTGCTGTTTGAAGGACATCGACACTTTGTTAATTCTGTTGCCTTTTCGTCTGATGGTAAACGAATTGTCTCTGGTTCTCGCGATGAGCGTGTCATTATCTGGGACGTAAACAGCGGCAAGATGACATTTGAGCCGCTCAAAGGACACTTGGATACTGTAACTTCAGTCGCGTTCTCTCCTGATGGTACACGTATTGTCTCCGGCTCCAGTGACAGAACCATCATCATCTGGAACGCCGAAAACGGAAACATGATTGCTCAATCTGATCAAGTGCACAACACAGCGATCGGCACTGTCGCCTTCTCACCAGATGGTACGCTTATCGCGTCGGCGTCTGGCGACAATGATGTCATTGTTTGGAACACCGAAAGCGGGAAATGTGTTTCCGGACCTTTCAAAGCACCCGAGGACAGCACTCAACAGTATTTTGCGCCACTTGCCTTCTCTCCTGATGGGATGTGTATCGCCTCGCGCAGTTCGGACGATGATATCGTTATCCGTCATATGCAGAGTAGCCAGATTGAGTTCGGACCACTGAAGGGGCACAGCGACATAGTCACGTCCGTTGTGTTTTCACCTAACGGGGTTTACATCGTTTCCGGGTCATACGATCGGTCAATTATTTTATGGGATGCATGCAACGGACATATTGTTTCTAATCCATACAAAGGGCACACCAGTCCGATCACCTGCATTGCATTTTCACCAGATAGTTCGCATATTGTCTCCTGCTCTTTTGACGCAACAATACGTATCTGGACTGTACCAGGCAAAGAAGGCTATTCTTTAACGACCAGAACGCTGCAAGGTAATGTGGTTGCCGCATGCTCCAGCATACAAGACGTCGACGATGACTTTGCAAGTTGGACCCTTGCGGACAACGGATGGGTGTTAGGTCCTCAAGGCGAGTTGCTCTTATGGCTTCCTCCTGACATCCGCCCGACTCTCTGGCGACCACAGAACATCGCTGTCTTCAGTTGCGAATTTTCCACAAAGTTGAATTTCAAGGATGTTGCACATGGTGAGCATTGGCAGGAATGTTTCAATCCGGATGTATGGCTTTGACTAGTATTTCCATTCTTTTTATGTACCTCTGTATTGCTAGAATTCTGTATTTAATCACTTTTTCTCACTCCTTAGCTGATGACGTCTTCGTGTAGTTCGCAAAAATTACTCTCATCCATCTGTGTACTTTACTGGCATTGCACTTATATTATACAGTATTATTTTGTTATATATGTGAGTCATCCGCTTGGTGGCATAAAAAAATTGGCCTTTGTTTGAGCAAGTCAGAAAAAAGCAGGGCTGTAAGCCTGCTCCTGCTGGTCTGTCATCACGCACAGTAAAGGAAGCGGGCTTGTAAAGCCAATAACTCGTAAGTATGAAGAAGGCGCAGCGTGGTAAGATAAATAAAATAGATGCTTAGAATTGAAAATCCTTGTCCTGCCGGACTTTGCCTCAGCGAATGAGCATAGAGTACAATGATGAGGATGGAGACAGTCATGGTACCCCAATTTGTTCGTAGAGCTTTTTTGTTTTTGTTTTTGTTTCCTGGCTCGAAATGTTCAGAGTCGTCAAAAGCGTCTAAGAAGAAACCTATATCGATGCGCCAGTCTCAGCTTGTCCATTCTCTTCAATAACATATTGACGCGGCTGAGAATCATACACTTGAAACCATTGATTCTATGTCCTACAGTAGATGCTGTCGTAACGGAGAATGCAAAAGGGAGGATGCTGGTAGGAAGCAACAACACGCAGACCAAGGCGAAAACAATCAGATCTGCAAAAGGCAACAGCCAACCGCTGTTCAGGAAATATACAACGCAGATGAAGAGCTTGAACGATTTCGCCTTCCATTTTGTCATACCTCCCTCCAGACACTACCAGACTCACCGATATGAAAACGTGCGAAAATAGAATCTTCTCCTTATACCTTGTCAAACGTCAAGACGTGTTCAGTCAACTCAGAGCATCGGATGCCAGGACTGGGTGCACAACAGATAAGACAGGATCAAATTGCACTTTGCCCTGTGGTCATGGCGTGCCTCCCCACACCTCCTTCCTGGAATTGACCAGTCGTCCGATGCGTGCTTCCTACCTTCCTCAGCACTGGCCAGTCCTCCGACGCTAAGTTCGTCGCTCGGCACGATCTCCTTCGATCGACAACAGAGCGGAAAAGCTGAAGATGACGGAGGTGCTCGTACAGCTACACTTGCGCCGTTGTAAAATGCTGTGTTTTGCGACGTCTCGTACTAACGTCCAAAAGCCTGGAGCTCATACTAGCAGGTACCTGATTTGGCACAACTCCAGGTTCACTCTGTACCTATTACAGCCGTTTTCAAAATTGTTGTCACACGCGCGATTCGTGATTTTCGTCACACTAAGTACACTCAAATACAAAATCTACTATAATTCAACTAATACCTAACCAAATTACATGATCTAAGTTGTAAAAATTATATTTTTAAATTATCTTTCAAATTCCAGAAAAAACAAAGTAAATTGGGCAACATTTGAGTAAGATACAACACAATATGTGAGTTTTCCCTATATTTCTTGTATATGAGTTTTCCTGGCCCCAAAATTGATTATACAATACTATAAGCTAATCTAAATGATGAATATTACTTTATTTTTAATTTACATATTGAATTATAACTAGGGTACAGAGTATACATATAAGTATAATACATATTTAAGTTTGCTAAAAATGTGCATTTTGCCCTAACCTCTCTACAGTCAGGGAAGCTTCTCCTGAGTACTATTTATGTTTGTAAATTCACTCTAACCAAAACATATCAGATATGAGCACTTTTATAAGTTATAGTATAGTTTTATAAGTCAGAGAAGTACTGTTAAAGTAATATGTATAATAATGACTTACTACTTAATCTAGACTAGAAATCCATGCTAAAACTATTAAAAGTGCTTAAAACCAGTCTAATTTATTTGGAATGGATTTATAAACATGAATAGTACTCAGGAGAAGCTTCCCTGACTGTAGAGAGGTTAGGGGAAAATGCTCATTTTTAGCAAACTTAAATATGTATTATACTTATATGTATACTCTGTACCCTAGTTATAATTCAATATGTAAATTAATAATAAAGTAATATTCATCATTTAGATTAGCTTATAGTATTGTACAATCAATTTTGGGGCCAGGAAAACTCATATACAAGAAATATAGGGAAAACTCACATTTTGTGTTGTATCTTACTCAATTTTTGCTCATTTCACTTTAGTTTTCCTGGAATATGAAAGTTAGTTTAAAAACATAATTTTTACAACTTAGATCATGTAATTTGGTTAAGTATTAGTTGAATTATAGTAGATTTTGTATTTGAGTGTACTTAGTGTGACGAAAATCACGAATCACACGTGTGACAACAATTTTGAAAACTGCTGTAACATGTTACAGAGTGTGTCAAAAGGATAAGTATTTATTTGAGTCTAATACTTTCTTTCTCAATAATGGAATTAAGGAATAACTGTTACTTATCAGACTATAAAACTTATACACAGTGTAGTTATAGTCTATAATACTATTATATAAGTATAACTAGAATTTTATAAGCTGTTGAGACTGTGTTTTAGATAATTGTTGTCTTTGAAAAATATTGAGAATGTTACACTAGCCTAGCATTCTATTCATTTTTGTGGCCTAATACTTACTTTATTATAAAAATTTTAATACATCTAAGTTTTTATAGTATTAATCTAATTTTACACCTTTTATTCTAAGTGAATAGGATAGAAATTAATAGAGAATTTTGTGTTTCTTTCATTTTGAAAACATTTTAGAACACAACATGTGCTAAAAATCACATGATCATGGGAATTGCCAACCTTTTTGAAAACAGCTGTAAATTCACAGAGAATTTTATCATAGGCGACTTCAATTAATTGGCAGAGACACTTGCAGAAGGGCTTCAGCAATTTAGAGTTAAGATGCCAAGAGTTATGCAAGTCTCTCAAAATTGAAGAGCTGAACTTGCAGAGATCGACATTTAATGCCCATGTCACGTTACTCATGATTTTTGTTGGGTTGTAGTCAGACATTTCTTTATTTCAAACTCTGACACGTCTGCAAGTGCCAACAAGTGGGTTCGAGCACTTGCAGACACTTGCAGAGAGTTGCACAGATTTACATCTCTATTTGGTATATATTAAGGTACGTCCACTTTGCCGAGCCACCCCAAAATTTTCCAACTGTCCTGCAAGTGCTCCTGCCAATTAATTGAAGTCACCTCATACGTGTTGTTTTAGTCTCAATCCTGATAATACACTCTGATGTAAGGCTTGGTCTCCTTCCTTTACTGCTGCTCGACAGAGTCGACACCGTTGGTCCAGCCCTACTCACCAGGTGTAACTCAACCAAATACAGAAGTTTCAAGCATTCCGAAGCTGGTGACAGTATCTCTGAGACTCCAAAGGACAACCCACCGAATCCAACACATTCTGGTCCCTTGAATTACCCCACTGTAGATGTCTGGCTTCGTTACTGCCAGCAGCACATTGAACGAGGCCGCGATGCAGTACACACCTACACATCCCTCATTTTCGTCTTGCAGAAAAATGGCTGCACTCGCTTGGACGACGTTGCGAGGCTCACCACCGAAGAATTGCGCTCACTTGCTATGGAGTGTGAAGTCGAAGCATCAATCGGTCTTGTCAAGCGCGTGGTTGCATATGCTCATGAGGACGTAGCCAAAGTGAAGAATGATGGTTACCTAAAGATGGATGCTTAGCTGGATGGAGTTTCATACATCAGACGTTCAACCGTCACCGTCTTTGCTCTAATTCGTCACCGTCAACCGGTGGAGTTTCATACATCAGACGTTCAACCGTCACTGTCTTACCAATGCTATTGCCCCAATTCATCATTGTCAACCAGTGAATTTCTTGTAAAGCAATCAGAGTAATACAAATAACACGAACATGGATTGATGTACATGCAGCTTCTTGTGAACAATACCATGAGGCCTACCATCAAGAATACATGCTAAGAATATCCACAGTGATAAAAGAACGATTGACAGTCGGCAGCACTTATTGTAAACACTTGCCGATACAGGTCCTCATAAATAGAATATTCGTCCCTGAGGCTATTGAGATGTTCATCAATCCGACGAAGCCTTGACTTGAGAAGCGAAAACGCTAATTCGATGGGATTTAGGTCGGGCGAATATGGAGGAAGATATTCCAACCGTACTCCACTACAACCATGTTAGAAAAAAAGAATGTGACAAGCTATTTGTAACGCACCGGCTAGTGATTAACTGTTCGATCTCTGGGGCCTTGTGAATGGGGAAATTGTCCATCAAAATGACGGAGCGCGGTCCAGGCCAAGGCTGCATTCGCTCGAGGAGATGTTCAATAAATGTATAAAACTTTGCTGTATTGTATGACCCCTCAATGATCATACAATCGAGCATACCGTCCACATGAATTGCAGGGAGAATTGAATACCTACATATTTGCCTATTACTTCAGATGTTCAACTCAGCAAAGCTATGTTACATACCTTTTTCCTCTAGCAAAATGTTGTTTCCTACAGGCCCGAAGTCTTGAAAGTGCCCAGGCTCTCTTACACAGCCAAACATTTCGTTCACATGAACTTTCATCAACAGCAACAATTTCGTCAACATTATAATTGGTGATGTGTTCTAAAAACACAGCCCTCAGTGCTTCATTATGTTCCAGTACTGATGCAGAAATATTAGATTGTACTCTGGATTAGGAAATCCCCAATTGCCTTATGTAGAGTTACTGTGCTTGGAATGTCTCAGACTATCAGACTTCACTATGTAGTATATAAGGCAGACACTTGCTTAATGTCTCAATAAGAGAGAGTACTTGGGGCACTCCTACTACACTTGTTAAGAGGTTATAAGCCTTAGTGCCCATTGAATGCTCCTACACACTCACTCTTACAGAACACCTTTGCCTCCTACTAGCCCACCAAGCCCTAGACCTCCCTCTCCCCCTAAACCCATTACAATGTTGTTTACAATACATACCTTTGTTAACACTATAATGAAGGACTCTAATGTTACAAAGTTCTTTGAGGGAACAGAAAAGTTGACTAGTATGAAGGGATACAAGATATAGTACTTATACATACACAGTACACTCACTGTCATAATGCTCTCAGACTATCTAGAGTATGATCCCCCTTCCTCTGATGATGCTAGCATACATACAAGTAATATTTTGTATCATTATATAATGAAAACAATAACTGATACAATTTATACAAACTTCACAACACATACAAGTGTTAGAAGTCTTATAAAGGTGCTTTCTAAACAATACAACATTCAAACAACAATGACACATACTGTAAACATATCTACATTGTTTACAGTAAAAGGACATGTATTACAGTTTGATAAGATGTTAGACAACATTGAACAAATCTACAGACAGTTGTCTACACATAATAAAGTCCCTAATGACAATACATACATTTCAGCAATTAACCTTACTACTCCTTGTAAGTATAGATGGGTAGCAACAATGCTGGACAAGCAGATTACCTATTATAATCAACTACTAACAGTTATAGTAGCTCAGAAAGATGTTCTAACACTAGCTAAGTTGATACACAAATTACAAAACACATATACTAAGTACTATTCTTAGTACTCTCAAATAAAACAAGATACTGAATGAGACAGTCTACAAACAAAAGGCAAAAGTGTAGCTAAAGGCAAAACAAAGCCTTATAATAAAGTTAAATGCTACAACTGTAATAAGTACAAGTATATGTTAAAAGACTGTCAAAATCCTCTAATGAGTAAAACAACAGAAGCTTAAAAGAAAAAGTATAGACAAACAGCTACTACTTCTACTACTACTACTACATTGTCTCAACCTGTACTTAATGTAGTAGTATTTATTAGAGACAATAATGAAACAGTATTCATTAAAGACATTAATGAAACACTAATGCTAGAGTCTACAATTGTAGAAGCCTTAGTATTAAGTTCTAGTAGCTTACCTGTTCAATCTACTCTATCTACTGAATCTAATGTATTTTTAGCATTCAAAGTACAAGAGAATGGTGTCATACAAGTAGACAACTTTATGAACTCATTTGACAATACAAAAGAAGTCATTAAGGAGTTTAATTACAATCCAAACATATGTATCAATACAATACATTATAATAATACTAAACTAATACATTATATTAATATATTAGACTCTGGTACAAATGTACACACTACTCTATACTTGTTCTGTCTTACAAACGTCTAGAACTCAACCCTAATAAACATTACAATTATAAATAAATTGTTATTTACACTTAGCAAAAGTAGAGTAATGACATTTAATATAAAACTATAAGACAAAGCTAATGAGTATACTAAGGTGAATACAATTTCACTACAAAACATATACTATCATCCTAATCTGAACTTCACACTTGTTAGTAAAGTACTATTATATAAAGTAGGATATGTTTTAACAAAAACAAACAATGAATGTATTATTTATTCTCCTACTCATACAAAGATTAGTAAAATACATGTACAAAATAACTTGTATATAATAGTTTCTCATTATAATAAACAATCTATTAACACAATCACTATTGTTGATTTACATTGACAAATGAGTCATGTTAATTTTAATTACTTGTACAAACTTATACAAGAGTATCCTAAGATTATAAGTTAAAGAATAACAGACAATAAAAATGTACAGTGTACAGATTGTATTAAAGCAAACATACAACACAATGAAATACCAAAAATATGAACAACACCTCTTACACAATATTATAGAGATCATCTCCACATTGACATTTAGGGACCTGCCTTAGTACAAGCTTATAGTAAGTACAAATATCTTTTTACTATTATAGATAATACTATACAATGAGTAACTATACTACTTATGTAGTATAAAAGTAATACTTTCACAGAATATGTAAAGCATACAACAAGACTCTTTACACAGTACAGTATAAGAGTTAAAACCCTCTAAAGTGATAACAATACAGTGTTCCTAAGTAAAGACTTTACTATGTATATTAAAAGTTAAGGAACAATATGTAGATTAATAGTACACAATACACTACAGTAGAACAGAGTTACAGAATGTATACATAAGACTATCTTTAACAGTATACACACATGTCTGTTATTAGCAAAGTTACCTATAAAATTCTGAGTATATACAGTACAATATTAAATGTTTATTCATAACAGAACACTAAGAGTTACTATTAATTTTACAACACTATATTATAAACAGTATAACAAACATTATCAAATAGATAATATATGAGAATTCAGTACATATTATATTATACAGAACAAACAAACACATAAACTATAACCTAGAAGCTAATACACACAATAGTTAGGTTATAATACTAATAGTAAAGGTTACTTAGTGTACTATAATAATAAAGTTACTATTGAACACAATGTACAATTCATAGACAAGCTAATGTCTAGGATTGAAAGGGAGAATAATTATAATAGTAATACATCAAACAATGATAAAACTCTTCCTAATAACAATAATAAAGATAAAGAACCTGTTATATAACACTCTACACAAGAGTAAAGACTAGTTAAACAAACTATAAGTTTAAATTACAAAGACAATATAAACCTAGTTATGTATTTAACAGAATTTAACAAATTCCTTAACAAAATCTATAACAATCTATTAATGTATTATAATACTATAACATGTATAGACAAAGAACAGTAGATTAAAGCTATGAAGGATAAAATACAGTCACTTTAACAATAAAACACATAGATATATACTATCCCCCCTACAAATACAAATATAATTAGAACAAAATTTGTCTATAAAATCAAAAGACTAGCTAATAGCTAAATAGACAAATACAAAGCACAATTTGTAGTGTAAGGATACACTCAAAAGAATAGAATAGACTTCTATTCTTTTAACAAGTGTAGTGAGAGTGCTCCAAGTACTCTCTCTTATTAAGACATTAAGCAAGTGTCTACCTTATATACTATATAGTAAAGTCCAATAGTCTGAGACATTCCAAGTGTAGTAATTCTACATAAGGCAATTAGGGATTTCCTAATCCAGAGTACAATCTAATACTCCCCTTCAAGCATTAATTAAGAACTAAGACTGTATACCTAATAGTTTGTTTAGATGCTTGATCTGCAGGACATAGAGAGCCTTTGTAAGGATGTCTGCTAATTGGTTCTGTGATTGAACATAGTATACATTAATGTAATTGTTTTGAATGTAACATTGTACAAAGTCTTTTTGTAAATCAAGATGTTTAGTGTAAGCATTGTACATTATTTTGTCAGACTTTACAGTCTTTATTACACCTTGATTATTGTAATAAATTGTAATAGGTACTGATTCAGTCTGTAGTACTTCTTCAGCAAATTGTTTGAGCCAAATGGCTTCTTGAGTAGTATACACTAGTACTTGCAACTCTGCTTCATAAACAGATAGTGGTACCAGGTTTTACTGTTTGCTTGACCAAGATATGGTTGATTTAGCTAATTGAAAGATGTAGCTGTTTATTACTTTATGTCCTTCTGTCATTTGTCTGTCTGCATCACAATAGCCTCATAGTTTTAAGGTGTTTGTGCTTCCAAGTTGAAGCTAACAATTTGTTGTATATTTTAAATACACAAAGCAATGTTTTACTACTTTGTAGTGATGTGTTTAGGGCTTTTGTAAGTAGTATGCTAATTGCCTAGTAATATAAGATATGTCTGGCTGTGTG